AGCAAGAAACAAAGTTAAAATACAATGAAAGACCAACAATAGGGAACGAGAGTCTGGGCTGAGGAAGTAGTTGAATTGACTGTGTTTGCCTGGCAAGCAGGAATTCCAGAGCTCCACCCTGTGACCTAGAAGTAAGGAGGTAAAGGCAAGAGAATCCAGAGTTGAAGGTTGTGTTTGGTTACGGAGTGAACTCCCAGCCAGCCTGGGCTACAGGAGAGACCCTATCTCAAAGGAAGAAAGAAAAAATGGGAGGTAGGGAGAAAGAAAAGAGGACAGAGAACACTTCCATTGTACCCTAGAGCTGAGAGAGTATACAAAACAGAAACCTGGAAAACGAGCCCCTCTCTAACATTGCAGCTCACGCCTCACTGGAGAATGCTTAGCTGAAGAAGGCAGGAAGGTTTATTGCTTTGTAGCCACTGGGGTAGCGGGGCTGGAAGGCACAAGGGAGATGGGGGTGGGTAGGAACAGGAGGAGAAGGAACTGGAAGCATGGAACACTCTCTCCATGATCCCCCAAGAAGGACCGAGGGCTCGGAGTTCAGAGAGACAGGCCAGGGAGTGAGTGGAGGATCTGCAAAGGCAGTGTGAGCAAGGCCTGGTAGAGAGGGCTGCAGAAATGGGACAGCTCATGGGTGGCACTGTAGCTTCAAAGTCAATGAATGAGGTGGACTGGTGAATGTTCAGACAAGCAGAGGCGTAGAGGAAACTGTAGGCAGACACGGAGGAAAATATACAAAATGAGGGCCAGGCATGGTGGCGCATGCCTTTAATCACTCTGGAGGCAGAGGCAGGTGGACCTCTCTGAGTTCCGACTAGCCTGGTCTACACAAATGAGACCCTGTCAGTGGAAAAAAAAAGGTTGGGGAGGAGGCTGGCTGAAGAGATGGCTCAGCAATTAAGACCTCTTGTTGCTCTTGCAAAGGACTTGGCTCCATTCCCAGCACTTAAATGGCTGCTCACAACTGTCTGTAGCTCTGGGTCCTGAGGATCTGACACCCTCTTCTGACCTGCATAAAGGAGGCACACACACACACACACACACACACACACACACACACACACACACACACATATGCAGGAAAACACTCATACACAATTTAAAAATAAAATTAGTATATAAAAAATAACAAATCCGGGGGCTGGAGAGATGGCTCAGTGGTTAAGAGCATTGCCTGCTCTTCCAAAGGTCTTGAGTTCAATTCCCAGCAACCACATGGTGGCTCACAACCATCTGTAATGGGGTCTGGTGCCCTCTTCTGGCCTGCAGGCATACAGACAGAACATTGTATACATAATAAATAAATATTTAGGAAAAAAAATAACAAATCCAGCGCATGCTTTTAATCCCAGCACTCAGGAGGCAGAGGCAGGCCGATCTCTGTGAGTTCGAGGCCAGCCTGGTCTACAGAACAAGTTCTAAGTCAGGCTCCAAAGCTACAGAGAAACCCTGTTTTGAATCCTCCTCCCCCCACCCCTGACAAATCTCTGGAACAAATCTAAACTTTAGGAATTGGTGCTTAGAGACAACAGGTTGATCAAGTAGCCAAAGCTCAAATCCACAAACTCCAAAAGATGGAAATAAAGCAAAGTAAATAAAGCAGATGCGTTAGTGAATGAGGCTCAGGCCAACACACCTGCCAATGAGTCCACAGGTGGTTCTCCTGGGGACCCTGGAAGCAAGAATCTCTCCACAGGGCCTGGCATGCGAAGGGCAGAATTTTGATAAGGATTTAGAAGCTTTGCCGTGAATCTGCCACACTGTCCATCACAGACAACTCTCTTCATCATCTGCATAGTTATACAGACAGATATCACCTGTCTCCTCTCTGCCCAAGCTCCCAACCACCCTTCTCCACACAAGGCAACCAGAGTAGGGCTGTAATTTCAACCACACCCCTCAGGATTAGGTCTTCTGCCTTCAGCCCAGGAGCTGCTAAAATCTACTTGACCACAGTTGTGGTCCCCACACTGAAATCCCTGAGCACCCTGGACACACATAGGAATTTGAGGGATGTATACAAAAGAATAAAATTGGGGTGCTAAAGTCAGGCAATGGTGGCGCTTGCCTTTAATCCCAGCACTCAGGAGGCAGAGGCAGACTGATCTCTGTGAGTTTGAGTCTAACCTGATCTACAGAGCAAGTTCCAGAAGAGGCTCCAAAGCTACAGAGAAATGCCAAGACTTGTGCCATCCTGCCTTGCGGTTTTCCCTTTAAAATTCCCTTCCTGTGAAGACTCAGGGCCCTTCTCCCCCACCTGCTGGGAAAGTGTGTTGAAACTCAGTCCAAACTAGTCTGAAAAATCAATAAACCCCAGTGGGTTTGCATTGGATACTGGCTCTGTGGTGGTCTTGTTTGGGGGTCCTGTGACACAGGTGTAACAGTACATGATACTTGTATATAATCACAGTAGCTAAGTAGAGGCAGGAGGATCAGAAGTTCAAGGCCATCCTCTATAGCATAGTAAGTTAGAGGCCAGTCTGAGATACAAGGAGACTTTGTTTTTTTTTTTTTTTTTTTTTTTTTGGTTTTTCGAGACAGGGTTTCTCTGTAGCTTTGGTGCCTGTCCTGGAACTAGCTCTTGTAGACAAGGCTGGTCTCGAACTCACAGAGATCCGCCTGCCTCTGCCTCCCAAGTGCTGGGATTAAAGGCGTGCGTCGCCACTGCCCGGTGCCTCAAAAAAAATTTTAAGTGAAAAAAAAATGTACAAAAAGCTCACTCTGGGTCTATCCATAAAAGATTAATGTAAGCCAGGTGTGGTGGTGCACACCTTTAATCCCAGCACTTGGGAGGCAGAGGCAGACGTCTCTGAGAGTTGGCAGCCAGCCAGGCCTACAGAGTTCCATCTAGTACTGTATTTTGTGAGACCCTGACTCAAAACAAAGATGACCCAGGTGGTGGCGCACGCCTTTAATCCCAGCACTCAGGAGGCAGAGGCAGGCGGATCTCTGTGAGTTCCAGGCCAGCCTGGTCTACAAGAGCTAGTTCCAGGACAGGCTCTAAAACTACAGCGAAACCCTGTCTTGAAAAACAAACAAAACAAAGATGGGGGCTGGAGAGATGGTTCAGAGGTTAAGAGCACTAACTGCTCTTCCAGAGGTCCTGAGTTCAATTCCCAGAAACCACATGGTGGCTCACAACCATCTGTAATGAGATCTGGTGCCCTCTTCTGGCCTACAGGCAGAATACTGTATAAATAAATAAATAAATACACTTAAAAACAAAACAAAACAAAAAAAAAAAAAAAAAAAA